AATTGCTATGTTTAACCAGTCTGGTGATAGCGACGGTAGTTTGAGTCCAGCATTAACATTTCTTCTACATGCTAACAAAGATGAAACAAGATCTGTGAAAACTGGTTCTGCAGGGCATTTGGTATAATGACCATGACCTCGTTTGTTACATGACTGTCGCCACCGTTCTTCAATCGATTTCAATCGTTGTTCGTCCAATATCATAGAATAGCTATCATTTGAATGATTAATAGACTTCCCGGCATGATTACATAAAGAGTTTGAAAATTCATTAATGATTATAATCATATCAGGCTCCAATATTGAAAGTACTATATCCAGTCGAATATGAATATGACCACCTAAAACAATTTTTTAAATGTTGCAACACATATACAATGTTGATTTAATATTTGATTTACCTAATTGAGTATGTTTCAAGATACCCATTCGTCTCTCACTAATAGCTGTTGTTTGTTGTTGTGGTAGCATAATAAGTACTCGCTCAAAAGATTGAACAATACGACGATGATGACGAGTTAAATCTCTTGAAATTAGAAAAAGAGTCAAGTTACATATTTGATAGTCAATAAAGAACTATCAATACCTAATAACAAGTTAGACCAAATGGGTAATGTTGGCATAAAAAAATTTGTCAAATATTTGAACCATTTTAAAATACTTTGAAGAGCAACTCCTTCTGCTTCTTCTACTAAAATACCAGTAATATTAAGTGCATCTTGAAATATTTTCTTTATAACAGATTTAAAAGGTGAATTAGTGGCATTGGCTTCTTGTTCTTCATCAATAACTATCTGTGTAAAAAAAATAACAGATCAATGTTCACAATTTAGTTAGAACTAAATATTTTTCTATGACATAATCTTGATTCTTTTCATCAGAAGTCAACTAAACCATTAGTATGCTGCTTTACCTTCTGTTTTGTCACTGTTGAAAAGTTTTTATCTACTTCATCATTATCATCATCTGCTCCATCATCGAAATCATATAAACAAGTACCAGTTGTATTTGTTGTATCTTCTTCATGAATAACTTCACTAGATTTAATTGCATCGACAGTATTTGTATCAGATTTTATGTTGTTGATCTTTTCGAGTAAAGCATCTTGAGTTCCTCTGTCGTAATCTTCTTCATCAAGATGTAATTTCAGAAAAACAAGACATATCAATTTCCAATTATGCTTGAATTCGAGCCAACTAGATGTGTTAATTAACAAAGCAATTGACCACATAGCTAATTCACGATATCGTTCATCAATAAATTTATTTATTGTTTTTCGTACATCGTATAAAAAAGAATTAAATAATCAAGAAAAAAGATGTATATATACTCACTAATAATACATGAGTAAGACAAGCATGAATATTTGTCTTCTGTAGATCGGTATCATCAGCATCATCATTAACTATTCTATATGCTCTATGCAAAAACTCTTTCATGGATTCATTATTCCATAACTGGAGTGTCGGTGTGAATAAAGATTTAAACACACACCCACAAAAGCTCGATATAAAACTTGTCTTAAAGCATTTTCTCTTCATTCTGATGGAAAATCAACTGTCGACAAACATTTAACTATGAATACTAATAATTATTCTTGTAATCAGTTTTAGAAAAATATATTATTTCACAAAAAACTTGCTGAAACAAGTTCGAAAAATAGAAAATATAACTAAGGGTTAAAAGACTATGTGCTATATAATCTTTTTTTTCTTTAATTTCTTAACTTAGAGAGTACATATATGTATATGAGTCTTTTGTACTCTCTTGTATATATGTTTTTCATCTAGTGAAAAAATTCGACACATTATGTCTTTTATTAGTTGTTTTTTCTCGCATCAGCCAAATGTTATTTTCACTATATTGTCTTTCTTTATAGTGAAGAACCTTTGAAAACAAAGTACAGGTCAATGAAATAAAAGTAGTGGAGCATTTTATGTCAGTAACTGAACATGAAAGTCGCTAATTCGAAGAAAAACGATTTTTCTGATAAGTTTCTCATTTTCCGATTTTAATAAAAAAAAGTTTCTGATTTTTGAATTTTCGATCTGATCACCCTGCCTCACACTCACACCCGACCAAAAGTAAGCTTCATATGGCAACATCTTTAAGCGCTAGGCCGAATTGGGTAATAAAACTTCTAAGACTAAAAGTTTCGTCTGAATCTTTATCGCAAGACTATTAGTACTTACCATATTCAAGGAAACCATACGCATCCCTTTAGTTTCCTGTTGAGATAAGTTTTCCAATTTTGTATGTGAAAAGCTTTCATACAGAAAATTCCAGTAAATTCGCTCTATTCTAACGACCATCGGTTCTCTCAACTACTAATGCACACTTCTAATAAGCTATGTAACCGCTAGTACTAGTGGGTTAAATCATGACTGTTGTTCAGTTTTATTAGTGTTAATGATCAACTGATCAGTAAATGTTTACCATTACATTACCATAATCATGCTCCCTATTGATCTATCAAACCCATTTGATCAAAATATCTCAAACTACAGACAATTTAACACGATAAGACATTTCGCCGTTAATACAAAACGCTTACTCCATAAGATTTGCCTCAGAATTCTAGCATGATATTAATTGACAATGATTGCCTTTATTGCAATCGGCTTTTCCATCTTGTATAGATTTCTCCTCTTTCAATTGGTGAAAACTGCAGGTCGCTAACTGTTGCCGTTATCGAATTGTTTCGCTTACACTTATGCCTCTTTAATTCTAGTGCAAACATTAGATACTATTTTCTAAGAAATATTTTATCCGACTAAGAAATTTTTCATCTGATCTCCAAAAATGAGATGTCATACATCAATGATATAGAAATCCAATGAGACTTAATCGAATAGATCTAATTGGGACTACAATGTATGTAGGAGAGAGCGAATTTATGAGATATTTGTTGAAGAAATGCAGTAACGAATTTCGGATCTCAAAAATATCTCAGACATCATTTTTTGTTTGAATAACGTTTAATTATTCGATGCTACATGCAGCTTCTTTCTTTTGCCATTAGAAAAGACGAACTCCAAGATATCTATGGATACATCATTTCATATAGATTCTTTTCTTGGTCAAAGTTTTGTTCATTTTTCTCTCACGTAAGTATAAAAATTTAATTTATTGATTTTTTTTTTGTGTTTCTAAAATCCAAAAGTTTTATTAGTGAAAAGAATAGTGATAAAAAATTTGGCAGTAGTATTGTTATTATTAGTCATTTGTTCAGGAGTCGATTAATATTCAAATAATTTTTAGTAATACATAAACAAAAGCGACATCATAAAAATGATAAAAGTAAAATTAGAAGAATTGTATATACTGATGCCTTTTTATCGATCTTGTGAATGTTGTTGTATAATAAGGTCTGCTACTTT